TTATTTTCTATTGAATTTTTTTTTACGATTATTGTTACCAACCATAAAAACAGATTCAGCACAGATTTTTCTCCCTTTGTTAAATAAGTATAACAAAAAAGAAAATTTTATACGTTCGTATAAGCATCAAAATATTTTTTTACAAAAAGATAGACAACAACGGAGTAAGGCGGTTGAGCATAAAAACAATATATAAGAAGATTTTTGCAACAATATATAAGGTTAAATGATAGTAGAATAATTGTACATTTAAGAATACAATATGAAAGTATTACAACATAGTGTGCTGGATGTGTATGTTTGTGTAGATATTTTAAGTAAAACAAAATGGTATAAAAATGTTAATATTTTCTTTCATTTTATAAGAAGCTTTTTATATTTTACAGGTTTTTGTGGTTCCTTTTTTTTCTACATTATTAAAGTATAATTTTTGTTTTTGTATAAGAAAGTAACTATTATTTTTTTTGTAATATTCAGTGAAATTTTATGAAATTGTATATTTGAATAGCAGTAATCTACAACATTGATCTACAGTATATAGCTATAGGTTAAAGTTCAAATTATAATTAACAAGTTAAATTTTAAGAAAATACTAAGAGAAAAAAGGTTTTTGAACCAAGCTAAACGAAAGCACTCAGATAATTCTTTTCAAAGTTAACAAAATGCAAGTATTTTCGTAATTTTGCGTATAAGTCTACATACTGAACAGGCAAGCACTGCACAAATAAAAAATTTTCACCTTCAATTCAAACTGAGACTATTGATTTATTGTTTACAAGGCGAGCGTTCTATCAGTGAGGCTCTGGAAAATGTGAAGAAATCACTGGCGATTTGTTCTCTACGCATTTTTCTAATAATTACTTAAAATAAAAGATATGAACCCTTCATATAGAAAATATAGTATTTCAAACAATTTACAGAAAATTTTTTAGGATAGATCCACTAACCTAACACATAATATTTAGTTCAATATCCACACCTCACTTATCCCATAGATTTAAACCAGTCCGAATCGTTTATAAACTGGTTTCAATCTATGGGATTTACATTTGCCAGGTCTGTAACTCGCAAAAACAAATGCGACCCAAGTGATCTCCCCCTCCCAGTAACAAAGCGAACATGAGCACAGAAGATGAGCCATCGTCTTCTCCTCCTCCTGACGTGTTTGCCAATCAAACCCAGGTTGCACGTACTCAGGAACATACTTAAGTTATTATTTTCAGGTAGGACCACAAGAATGCTAATACACTTATACATGATGTCATATTGCCCGCCAGTCATTTTAAAACAGAGAACCCAACTTCGGCTCAAAAAATTCCGCAAGCAAATTCTTTATATTATATTCGCTAAAAGCGCATCTGAGTCGAAAACTCGTTTATATAGTCGTAACAAATAGTTAGAATTCCGAGAGAATATGCGAAACTAATTGCATCGAAAACATTTTCGAATTTCAACTATGTCATTTTAAATAATTAATCCGAATACTGTTCGCAAAGCATATAACGCATATATATTCAAAATATTACTACATACATTATTATTATATTATAGCCTTTTCCATCTGAATAATTAAATTTAAGGTTTAATAACCTTTAATACGCGTATGTTATATGAAATTTCCTTTACAGAAAAATATTATAATGACATTATCATTAAAATTAAAAAAAAATTTCCTTTTACATACAAAAGTAATGCAGAAAATATTGCAATTCCAAAAAAAGGGAAAAAAATTTTCTTTCAATACTTTTTTTTTTAATTTTTTAATAAAATTATGAATAAAATTTATTTTCACCACAAGAGGGTGCTTATGAAATCATTATGCTTACACACTTGTTATCTGTATACATAATTTCAATAAGGAAAAGCACTATGCTACTATTATTAATAATATTATTACATTATATGCTGTTTGCAGTATAATCCTTAAAAAGACGCGAGTCTACCGTTTCATATTTGGCTGATTAAATAATATTACCTCTTTGTATTTTATACGAATTTGTACGAGTATGTTAAGTTTCTTTCTTTATTCAACAAAATATATAAAAAACAAGAAACAACAATACATGGAAATCAGGAAAAAAATTCAACTCCTAGAAATTTATTGATTGCTTTCTGCTCACTTAAATTTTGTAAGGAGTAATTTTTTTTTCTTTTTTTTCATTTGAGCATTAACAGCTCATAAAATCAGAAGCGTTAAAAAAAAATCTATATACAATACTCACAGCAACAATAAATTGTATATTAAATATGAAAAGTTTGATAATTTATGATCCTTGCAATAAAAAATCGATACAAGTATAATAACAGTTTGTGAATAATGGTATAATATTGAAATAATTGGGCAAAAACAGTAACACCTCGTAAAATGTTGTAATATCTTCAATGTTAAAGTCAATTTACGGCACCAGTAAGCTTGTATAGTAAAAACAACATATAAGTAAAATGCATAGCCAAGGATCGAATTATTTTAACTTTTGCTTTCTTAGTTTGTTGGAACTTAAGCAAAATAAAACCCAAAGTAGTTTCTAAATAGTAGTATACTGGTCTGGAACCTGATATTTTGAAACATATATCGTAAATTATGTAACCTAATAATACGGTATACGTTTCAAAATGCTAGTATGGTGGCCTGAAACCAGAGTTTGGTTCTTAAATATTTTCAAATTCAAATCAATAGGTTAAATATTAATTTTAAATTCTGTTGACTTGACAAAATCTACTGCAATAGAAAGCTTATTTTGTTAGAACTAGAATGTGAACACAAATATTATCTTATCAAATACTTTGGATTCTGGGTGATTTTCAAAATTTAATTTACGGTAATTCTATTGTACGTGCTATAAATATTTACGTGCATTATTCGTGATGTAACTGTATTTACGAGAGAAAAAGAATAAAAAAATAAAATGAATTCGAATGTAAAAGGCACACAATAATAATAATAAGCTTGAAAAAGATAGATTTCTCATTAAAATGAATAATAATAATGTCTTTGGAATGAATATTATATTTTTTAATGCTTTGCCATTATGAAAAGCGGCTATTGTCAATCATTACTTTTGTTCATTTTAATTTCATACTTCATTTCAGAATATACACAGTTAAAAAATAATTAATAATATTTTTATTATGTGCACGTTTTGTTTAATATTAAAAAGTTTCGAATGATTATGATTTAACATCATGCCTTATCGCTGTGTATTAAATGAGTTAATTAGTTGCTTGTTAATTCATATTGTTACATGCTGACCCATACAACACACAAATTTTTAAAATATTTTACTTATTAATGACACCGCCTTATGACACTTAGCAACTACTCAGTATTCGTTTTCTTCAATATATTTCACAAGTTGCGCACAAATAAGTTTGTCTAATATTTTTTTCATATAATGGCATCATATTTATTGGCCTCAAGTCAGTTGGTTCTTTCGGGCGTTGCGTTTTTGGAATTGGCCTGACGACCAATTCCTTCCATATTAATGGGAAAGTACCGTTTCTCATCGACTGGTTGACAATATGTGCTAGGACATCGCCAAATATATTATATGAATTGAGAATTATTTTAGTATCGAAACCCATAAAGTCTTTTTTGGTATTCATTTTAAGAATAATCACATATAATTGTTCCTTATTTATCTAAGTTGACTTGTCATATTTCCCGAGTTATCGATAAGAATTTAAAAATTGGACTGTTTTCAGAAATGTCACCTTTCAGGTGTCATGGCTCGAGAAGAAAAACCCGAAAAAAAAAAAAAACAAAATTCAACTAGGTTCTTTGTGTTCGTCTGGAGACATTCCATTATTCTGCTGTGGGAGTACAGTCGGGTGTCGGAAACGCTATATAAATAGAAAATAAAATTTGCCAGAGATGTCCACTTTGGTTTGGAAAAACCTTTAAATTTCAAAGAAACCGTCTGACAATTACCCATTTGATAAGTTCTATTTAAACAATGTTAGTTTTTTAATTTTAAAATGTTAATCGAAAAAATAACATTGAATTTCAAATAACACTAAAAATCTTAGAAAACATTAAAAATTAATAAACGGAGTCCACGCTTTATTTTCTTTTAATTTTAATTTCTAACATTTTTTGTTATTCTTATAAAAAATTTCTTATTGTTTTGTGTTAAAGATGCACGTAACCAGTTATGTACTTCGAACACGTGTAAGAACGATATAGAAAATATTATGCAACAATACTTACTCATAATTCATAAATTAAATTTTTTAAATTCTTTCTTTATTTCCAAGATTTTCTGAAAACAAAAGTATTGAAACAAAAGTATTTTTTAATTAACAATTCAATTAACACACAAAAACAATTTTTTTTTTAATTTTTCTTCTCCGGCTAATGGAGGTCTTTCTATCAGTGCAACATGTTCTCTTAAAAAAAAATCCTTAAAAAGTTTTACTTCCTTAATATTGTTTTAAACAAAAAACGAGTTTTGAAATTCTTATAATGTTTGTTTTTCCTTAATTTAATTGAATTTCGGGGAATGGTGTCAAAAACAAATGTTTGCATTTAGATGAATTTTAACTATATAGTATGAAGATGTTAGCCTCCGGGTAACTTTAAAAAATTAAATGCCTATTCCAAAGCATTTTTGTAAATTTTTAAGAAATTGGAACAAGTTGTGTTTTATAATTAAATAATGAAATTTTTTTTTGCTCTCAAACTTTGTAGGGAAAGGACCAATATATGTAGATACGGGCAAATGAAGTGCGTAAATGAAAACTACTGCATATTATTCAGTAGTTACCAACTAAGTTTCGCTTACGAACTTAGTTTTAAAATCATAAGTAAAATTGCTATTTAAAATATTGAAAAACTTTAAATTTTAATTAAAATAAAATTTTCCACTGTCAAAATTGCTTGGCTTATAAAGTATAAAATTGTGACTCAATTCGTATTCTGTTGAGTGTGTACAATTAAAGAAAATTTATTTTAAAATAAAGAGTACACAAAAAAATTTAATAACATTTATTAACACACTTACCAATTACGGTTAGTCGGTATGCTTGACTAATTTTAGGTTCAGTTGATACTTGACATTCATATATTCCAGAATCTCTTGGTTGAACTGAAACTATTTTAAGTATCCATTCATCAGTGTCATCAGAATGCATCGCTTGAAATCTTTGATCATTTGTATATGTCATAATGCCAATAGTAAGGATGTGTAAGTCGCGTTTGCGTATCCATGAAACCTATAAATAAATGTATAAAATTATATGTAAGTCAATATGAATGCAAAGAAAAAGAAAACAAAAAATATTATTTGACTTTAAGATAAATTGTTTAAGTACAGAAGAATAAAAGTAGAAAAGTTGAATATTGTGTTCTACAGAAGAGTGAATAAATTTTTCTGTTTAAATTTTAATATTTTCTTTATGACCCAATTTGAACCCAACCTTATACTTTTGTTTCCAGAGTAATAGAAAATAGCATGGATTGTAGCAGTTTGTGATCTCAATTCAATGCTTTATTTTTTTAACTGAGGACAATTTAGACACCTGTCACTATACATAATAATTTATCAATAATAATTATTATCTTATGCATAACATGAAATATGAAGGCACTTTAAAGTGAATAACATGTACAGGAAGAACTAAACTCATCTATGTATGTAAAATGTTTCTAAGGGTTCAAAAATCAATATAAAATTTCTTTAATTACAGAAAAAAGCGAATACAAATTTCGTTGAAAAAAGTTTGCTGTATATTGTCCACTTGTCCGCCTCTTCACATAAATCAATTTCTTCGAACTCAAGATGTAAGGGACCATAATACGTTTTTTTTTCATTAAATTTAAATTAAAGAATGGCGATAGTGCATGCAAAATATCTTCTTCATTTTGAATGTCACTTTAAAAAGCGACCAATCTGGTGCCCAACAACTTTAAGATAGCAAATTAATTGCAATGGCAATAAACAAAAACTAAATCATTCAATGGTATTAAATCATTGTGACACAGTAAAGTGTACACTACTTGCATAGTGTTGTCATTTAATGAAGTCGTTTGCTTTGTGTGTCTGCTGTTATAAGTATATTTTACTTTAATTTTTATCAGAAATATACGTGACAAATAAACGTGAAGTACAGAGAAACATATACAGTTTCCCTTTATTTCTTTTACAGATTCTATGATATTGAAAAAAATCTGGTGAAAAACAAGACAATATTAGGATAATCGGGATTGAAATACTAAGGAAAATGTAATTTCTCTAGCATACATAGGTACAAATAGAAAACTAAAAAGGTTAAGGAGATATACATATGTAATTTTTATATTAACATATGTAGGTAATTGTGAAGAGTAACAGGTGATAATTTTAGATTTCTAGGACATTTACATACAATTTCGTGTACATTTTATATAATGACTGATTTGCATGTTTTGTATTTTGCGGGTCATTCATTAAAACTTACATAATTTTAGTTGTTTGTCCCAAATTTTAGTTGTCATTCATTAAATTGTGATGTCAAAATATTACATTGGTAGTGCTTCAATCAATTTCTCGAAGACAATATACACATCTTTTTAAATGATTGGCATATTAATATTGTTGAATTTGTTGTGGTTATATCAAAATGTTTGAATACATTATAATAATTATCATTTAATAGGATATGATTTTAAAATAGCAAAATTATTCATGACATTTTATTGGAAATCAGCTCATTATTATATTGAGCTCATTATTGCTATAATCAGCTCATTATTACTATAATCAGCTCATTATTGCTATAATCAGCTCATTATTGCTATAATAAGCTCATTATTACTACAATTATCATTATCATTAAATCAGCTCATTATTACTATAACTAACACGTTACTTTACATGATAACACAAGTCAAGCAATGATGTTACAAAGTAGTTAACAAGTAATGAAATTCGCTTTTCTTTCTCAAAATTGTAAGACGCAAACGATTTCAATAATACTATTATTTTCAATTTATAAACCTGCTCTATGAAAATTCAAGTAAACTAGTGCAAAGACTTATTTAGGTTTCACTTAGTACTCTAAGCTAAAAGAGGCAGTAATTCAAAGCAATAAGCATTTTCTTTAGTAATAAGAAAGCTCATCAAGTGTGTTACTTTAAATACCTTATTAATCTTCAAATAAAACTAAATTAAAACCTTGTAAGTTTTAAAAACTTGTATCAGAAATATTTTAATAATTTTTTTCTATACATAAATCGTACATTACTTTAGAAATTTCCTGGTTGAACATAAGTGCATAAATCTTTATTAAAAAGTTTTTTGTTTTAGAAGAGGCTTCATAAGAACCTCATAGAAGAAAAGTTAAAAATGTATAAAGAAAATTAAATAGTACTAAATTATCAAGAGTTTGAGAGCAATTCATCATATAATTTTGAAATTAAATTAAATTTAAATGATGGCTATAAACTTTAGTTACATTCATTTTATAAAAGAAAATTTCTTATTGAGCAAAATATTGAAATGAAATTGTTAGAAAAACTTTTTAAATCCCTTATTCATTTTCTATTATTAATTCTGTTATTGACGTAAATAATGGGCGTGTATGTTGTAAGTTTATGTAGAAACTTTAAATCTATACAGATAAACACGTACAATATCATATACAAGGAATCACCAAGCTTTTTTGATAAAATGAACCATTTTTCAAAATTTAAAATTTTCGCCGAGCCTCAATGAAATGTGTAATATAAATGTATGCAAACAAGATATTGAAAAAAATTTTGACCGAAGCACAATATCAACTTTCCGTTGTAATGAAAGTTTAGAAATTTAAAATCAGCCTGGAATCGGTGTGTTTCGGGCCTACTGTCTATTTCTGGAGTTGTTCAACTTGTACTGAAATGGAATTTGCTACAATGTTGCACTTATTCTTTCATATTTATTGTAATTTAAAAAGCATTTGAAACACATACAGATTACGGAACGATAATAATTTATTAACATAAACACAAAAATAAAAAGTTATGATTCTTCAAAGATCTCCGTGCGGCTCACCAAACTAAAGTTTGGCCACTTCTGCCACATACATTATGATTTGTATACAAAATGTACTTTGCTGGATATTGAATTGTTCAGAGAATTTCTACCTACATCCATAGTTCGCACAGCACAAAAAAAAACTATTCGTGTTTTTAAGTTTTTTTAATTTTCCTGGTTATAGAAAGGGCAAACCATTAGAAATTTTTCTAAATTTAAAATTTATTTGAAATGAAGAATACAAATTATTTGTGCGCTGTCAACTCGCTGCGATCGCACGCATTTATGAGAACCGTTCATCTTGTACAAAATCTTGTGTAATAAGGACCCGTCTTAAAGAACGATGAGAATAACTAAAGGATAATAGCATAAATAGCACTGCAGTTACTATTTTATTAAATATGAGAGCATCCTTAAAACTTTTAGTCCCGCTAAAAATATTGAATATTTTATATTCGTATTCGGGGTAATTCGAATTGAAATTGCTCTTCAAAAAGCTATGATCTAAAAAATTTTCTCATATTTTTCATTTTTCAATTATAATGACATTTCTATACAGTTTGTTGTAGAAAAACGGAACTGCAGAAAAACAAAATAACAAGCAAAAATAAGAACTGGAAATATTGTGGATCTCAGCAAAATGATTTTTGCAAAAGTTGGAAACTTGCACTAAGTATATAGAGAAGAAAACAACAAAAAAATGTGTAAAATAAAAACTCTTGTTTTCAGTTTTATATGATTACAATTCCTGAATGAAAAGTTTCCTTCTAAAGTTTAAATGGACGTTGTTTAATTTTCTTTTTTCTTTTTGCTTTCATTTCAATATAATCCAAGGATATAAGATGTAGTGTAACCTATCGTGTGAAGTAAAAAATTGCAATTTAATTCATTTTATTTTATTTTCTATTTTTTTTTTTTGATAGAAAGCAGTAAAAGTTTGCGGTTTGCGCTTCAACGCAAACAAAAACAAAGTTTTATGAACAAAATAAGGAAAAATCTTATGATTTTCTCGGATATTCAACACATAGGTTTCCTTTCATTGAATTTTTTGTTGTTTAAATTTTGCAGAAATAAGAAGTAAACAATATGGGGATGGTGGCATTCATCAAATTTGTTCAATTTCACAAGATTCTCATCCAAAGTTAATTCTCCTAGAGTTGTAGAGTCTTTTTCCAAATATAAATTTGAATTTTATATAATTAACACTATGTTCCAGAATTTCAGTTAAGAGGGGGTCTTAACTTTTACGTCGCCCAATTGAAAAATTATAGTTTTTTTAATCCGATATGCCAATTAGTGCGGAATTTTTTCTATTACAAAAAAATTTATTTTTCTAATGAAATTATTCGTGAATTTGATCAAATCGGACCATTGCAAGGGTTAAAATAATAGGGAACGAGAACAACTAAGTTTGTAGTTCCGAAGTACTGTAACAGAAGTATTACAGTCTTAGCAGATTGACCATTTGCTGCAATTAAATTAAGGTATTATCCATCTACGCTTTGCATGCATGCGCTTTCCTATACAAACCAGTGGATGCCTGTGCACTGGAAAGGTGTTGTTATATACACTCATACTACCGGGAATTCATAATTCTTTTCTTTGGCAACACATTCTTTTACTCTTATTAAATAGTTTTACTCGTTTTTTTCCCCCTTGCGCAAGAGAAAAAAGTTTTTGTGGGAGAAAAACTGGGGCGAAAACTATATATTAAATTTCAATTTGTAAACTTTTGTTTTAATATCACTTTGATCTGCTTATAGAATTTTTTTTTTGTTCTTGTTCTTTTTCAATTGTTTTAAGTTTATCCGTTTAAGGAGAAGTTTTTTATCCTTTTCAAGGTTAAAACATAATAATATAGAAATGATGCTAAACTCTTTTAATTAGACTGAATTTTTCTTTTTTATTCTTAAGATTTTATATTTAAAACCTAATTAGCAGTTTAAAATAGAACTTGATTCAAAAGTGCATAAACAATGTAAAGTATTTAAGTTTATTTTTGTGTACTTTGTAAGAATAATTCAGTCATTAATTTTAAAAGTAAACGTTGCTATTTTTATATTGTTATAATGACGGACACTCAATACTTACTGCTCTGTCGCCCAAATTTTTTACTTTGCAATGCATAAAAGCTGTCCTTCCAATAACACTAACAATTTCACGTTCTGTTGTATTTGTAAAATATGGCATATCATTTAATTGATTTCCTAAAATTTCGAATTCTTCTGCTGAATCAAAAACTGTTGAAGATGTACTGACTGCAGTATCTGGAAAATTTAAAAGAAAACAAATGAAAAATTGGCATAAGAATAAGAAATTGAAATAGAATAAAAATTGAAATTTTTTCATTCAGCCTAAATTTGATATGTGCAACAGTCGGCCGTCTGTCGGAATATTCAATCATTTCGCAGTATTTTAGATTAAATATTTTTTTTTCCTCACACTACATATTTCGAACATCTTTCTACAGGTTACATCTTTAGGGGCCCAAAACCGCATTGTCACCACTAGTGGTGGACCCTGGTAATGGCGGAGGATAAAGGGGTGATTGAAACGATCAAAGTTACGTTCGTGTCGTGGTCATGTCTCGCGGCGAAACTCTTACTTTGTGAGTTTCAGCCCTATATCTATACGTCAGCTGACGAAAGCAACACCCCTGATGTAGGGCCCTCAAAAAAGAGGTCGATGAAGGGCAATGTTGAGGAAAAGGTCCCTGGAATCATTCCTCAACAAAACCCGAAAATGACTTCTTATCGGGATGCAGTAGCACAGGTCAAGGTGGCCATCACTCATAGACTGGATCCAGAGGAAAGGCTATCCGAAGTTCAGATGGGGAAAATCAAAGTAGCCATCATGGATGAAATAGATAAAGTTGTGGACTCTCATCCACAATTCACTGCAGCGTTGCAAAGGGACGGATGGATATCCGTAACATGCAACAATCAAAACACCAGGGAGTGGATAACCAGTGTCTGCAGGAAGATAAAGCCTTGGGACGGTTGCGATGTCGTGGTACTGGATGGCGACGACATGCCCAAACAACATGTCTGCGTCACCTACGTACCAAAGGACGAGACAACCGTCAGTCTCTCCAGGGACAAATTTCTAAGTAGGATAGGGAAGCAAAATCCTAGCCTCTAGATAAGTTCCTAGAGGGTGCTGAGGATGGATAAGGAAAAGGACGGGGGCTGCTCCATTACCTTTTCTGTGGATGATTCCGGATTGGAAAATCTACGGAAAGCGGAGTTCCGGCTGTTCCTGAATTTCTTCCGTGTTACCGTTCGGGTTAAAGGAAGAAAATCCTCTCAAGGTGCTGGCGACAACGACGAGCACTTCAGGCCAACCAAAAGAGCCAAAACTCATTGGAAAGTCTGAAGTCGCTCCGAAAATGGCGGCAAGGGAAACGGAAGGACCATCGACCAGCACGCCAAATACAAGCGTCCCGGGTGAACCAAAAGGGCTCAAGCCCATTGGGAAGCTCGGAACTGCTTCGGTATTTGCTGTTGGAGGTGCTAATGTAGCAGCTGGGACGGCAAAAGAGGCTGTGGTAGGGCAGGCGCCCACCAAGATGGGTAAAAAGGCGGCAATGGGAGGCAAGGCTCATGTAAAGCCTTTGTCTAAAGGGCCAAAGCCCATAGACAAGAGCCGGAGAAAATGATATGGCTGTGAGGTGCATCCAAATAAATCTGCAGCATGCTAGGGTATCTACTGATGCTCTAGCTCATAGATTTAAGAAGGATCACCTCGATATCGCCCTTATCCAAGAGCCTTACATAGTGATGCATCAGGTAAAGGGAATAACAGGTGAGCTACTGTATGATAAGACAATTGGGGGTAGGCCTAGGGCTTGCATTTTGTTTAGTAAAAGCCTAACGTATTTTCCCATTCCAGATTACTGTTCTAAGGATCAGGTAGCTGCGTTGGTGAAGGTGAACTCCTCCGGGGGCTGGACAGAGTTTATTGTGTGCTCATCCTACCTCCCGGGAGACTGTGCCCACCTGGACGAGTAACTGAAGGATCTAGTGGACTTTTGTGGAAGGAGGAACTTCCAACTTATAATAGGAAGTGATGGATATGCCTACCACACCGTCTGGGGAAGCAGCAATATAAACAAAAGAAGTGAGTGCCTACTTGAATTTATATATAGCAATAAATTAATGGTTATGAATGAGGGCAATAGGCCGACAATTAGGGAAGAGGTCCTTGACATCACCCTTTGCAATGAATTTATCGGCAGTAAGGTTGGTGGATGGCATGTCTCAAATGAGACATCCATGTCCGATCATAGGCTGATTAGGTTTGATATCATGGTCTCCGGGGGCCTGGCAGAAGAAATATATCAGGTACCCCAATCCACAGATTGGAGTCAATTCGAAACGGTCCTCATGGATGGGATTGGATCCGTTCCTGCTTCTGTCAGAACGGTGATGGATATCGAACTGCCAGCGAGGCCCTGACGGCGGCTATAACTAATGCCTACCATGGGAGCTGCCGCGCTAAGCCAAGGCGGAGCGATAGGAAGTGCTCGTGGTGGAATAAAGACCTTTCAAGGCTTAGACTAAAGACCAGAAAGCTATTCAATAAGGCCAAGGCGTCGGAGTCGTGGGAAGAGTATAAAGACTCACTCACAAAATACAATAAAGAAATTAGGAAAGCGAAGAGAATCTCGTGGAGGGCGTTCTGCAAGGGCATTGATGAAATCTCCAGCAGTGCGCGTCTGCACAGGGTGCTTTCCAAAAAGTATGCTAGCGGGTTGGGCCTAATAGAACGGCCTGATGGCTCCATGACTGAGCACGGAGAGCAGACGTTGGAGCTTATGGAGTCAACGCACTTTCCTGACTTGGAGATTCTTCGGAATCACTCAAATGCGGTCATTGAACCGAGGGCATTCTGGCCCAGGAGGGATGACTGGCAACGATCCCGTCTAGTCTTCACGATGGACAGGATTAAATGGGCTGTTTTCTCTTTCAGGCCCTTCAAATCTCCAGGTGATGACGGGATATATCCTGCATTTTTGCAGAGTGGTTTCCAACATATCGCCAGAGCATTGTTGGAAATTTTTCGTTCCAGCTATGCATGGGGTTACATCCCTCAGGCATGGAGGGTGGCTAAAGTAACGTATATTCCGAAGGTGGGTAACCCAAGCTTGTTCCGTCCATTCAGCCTTACTTCTTTTTTATTGAAAGCAATGGAAAAAGTGATTGATAGATTTATACGGGACGATGCACTGGGAAGCAATCCCTTGCACGAATATCAGTACGCCTATCAGTCGGGAAGGTCTACTGTACTCGCTTTGTAGAGTCTGGTGGGGGTCCTTGAAAACTCACTGGAGGTGCGGGAGGTGGCAGTTGGCTGCTTCGTTGATATAGAGGGAGTTTTTGACAACACCCCATATCATGTCATCAGCGAGTCTTTGCACAAACGAGGGATTGATGTGACGACAAGCAGATGGGTTAATCGGATGCTACAGGATAGGATTATTATGTCCTATAGAGCAAAGACTATGTCGAATACCTGTCTGCCGCGGTACAACTTCGACCACAGGTACAGGGTTCTGTTTCCCGATCGATGGACGTGGAATCGGGGTGGTGCGGTACTTAGGTCGGGTTCGAGCGTGTGGTATGCGGACGGGTCCAAAACGGAGTCGGGTGTGGGTTCGGGTGTATAAGGTGTCCGCCCGGACACGCGTGTATATGCAACCCTTGACCCGTATTGCACAGTGTTCCAGGCCGAAATACATGCAATAGAGATCTGTCTGAGAATCAATTTAGAAAGCGGGTAGATAAACCGCACAATCTATGTATTCTCAGACAGCAGGGCTGCACTGCTGGCGCTTCGTTCAGCTCAAGTCTGGAGCTGCCTTGCTGCACTTATGGAATTGGCATCGGAGAACAGAGTGACGCTCATTTGGGTGCCGGGCCATAGTGGCCATGCGGGCAACGAAGTTGCCGATGGGCTGGCACGGAGGGGATCTGGGGCTGACTTTGTGCAGCCGCTGCCTTTCTGCGGTCTGCCTTCTTCCACCGTGGAGGCCAGGCTTGCCTGCCTGCTCGCGGCGGAATGCGGCCGTCATTGGCGGGACACGAAAGGTTGCCGTCATGCGAAAGTGTTTCTTACGGCGTGCTCCAGCGGATTCACCGCAGAGTTGCTGGGGATGAGCAGGAGCCGGGTTCGCACTATTGCGAATTTCTGCACGGGGCACTGCCCAGTGAAGTACCACCTGCATAGGCTGGGGAATTCGGGCTCCCCCCTGTGCAGATTTTGTGGGGGTGGCGATGAGACCGCCGTGCACGTTCTCTGCGATTGTCCGGCACTGGCTGTTCGGCGCCGCAATTGTCTTGGACATGGGTCCCTAAGTGTTCGGGAACTGTTGTCCAACTCCCTCAGGGATATCTTCAGATTTGTGGTTGGGACGGGGATATTATAGACGGGAGAGTGGGGGGGTACAATAAGTTAAAAATGGCTGCGGTGGCTTGGGGGGTTACTCCTGTCCCACTCGGTTCCCTTAGAATCTACGAATCTACATCTTTCGAGCTTTACAAAAACCTCATTTATTGGAATGATATTTGAAAGTGGGAGACTTTTATAAGTTCTTTAAAGAAGAATATAGCAGTTACAAAGCAGATCTCGTTATTAACATGTTGTAATAAGGATACAAAGAAGGAGAAATAAAAATTAATATTCATAAATTGTTTCTTTCTCTATCCTACTCTTATTTTATTAATATCCTCCACATGGTTTTTTATGTATTGTTCAATGGATATGCCAGTGATCATTTGGAAATATGTACGTGGTAAGTATAAAGTGTCATTTAACTTTCATAATACTTTGATTATTACGTTAACAGCAAATGAATTCTGGACAAATGTCAAGTTAAAGCTCTTTAGTGGAACTCCAGCGAATTATCAAAAAAGTGGGACCAAAGCCAATAAACAGATCATATATTATTACAGTTGTGTAAACGCAAGTTTAATGAAAAATTGGCCACAAAATTGATGTAAGAAGAAATTATTTCAAGACTTATGGAATTCAATTTAAATTCGTTCGAGTTTATGTACAGCTTTAAACTTCGTATTGAAAATTTCTTAAACAATATTTAATACAACAGGGTATTGTGTTAGAAACTTTTAATACAAGAATAAAAATCATGAAATTTATTACTCTAGACATACTAAAAATTGGTGTTCCTATATACAAAACGAAAAAATTTACTCTCAAATTTCAGTTTATTCTGCGTGTATATTAAAAAAAAAATGTCATAATTTGG